GAGCTTTGCCCCTTCTCGTTTCAACTCTCTGAGTCAACTATAGGAACTCCTTGTCTAATTTTAACGCCCAGAAACACACCGTCCACGCGGGGACCGAAACCACCGCGAACCACGAGAAATCGACCGATGGCCTTGACGATTGTGAAATTTGGACAGAGGCCTCGTGACACGCACACACGTACGTACACAGATTCACTTGAGACATCATTCTCCCTGCCGACTACATACTCGGTTTCGCCCGCAGAAATTCCCGACGGTGTATCTCGGTGTCTCGATACTACACACGCCCCGTAAACAGTCGTTTGAGCAACGGTCCGACGTTCCGATCCCGACACGGGACCATATCGGATCGCTTGCTCGCTTTGACATTGATTCGGTACACGCTCGACGGTCCCGCGGAGGCTTCTGTTTGGACGTTAAACATCGACGTTTACGATCGATTAATCATCCAACGATCGTAATTTCAACGGTACGTTCCCCGCCGACCACCGGTTACCGCTTGTAAAATTTGCGCTCGATGAAATACTCGGAGAACTTTACCAGACGATAAGTGGCTATAATACCTCGGCGGTTATGGTCCACGATTGACGATCATTTTTTTTTTTGTTCTCGAACAAAAGAAACATATAAGGCTTTCGCATACGGTTTCTTTCGAGAACACGAGAGACGAAAAATGACGGATTTCTGACTTTTTATTTTACAATTACCGAAATCCTAAAGATACTTTCATCGGAGTTTGTGTTCACTTTTAATTCCTTATACATTTTATATTATCCTATACTAAACTATATTGTATTATATGTATATTAGACATATTAATAAATCAGAGAATTTAACTTTGCATACATTTAATGCTGGTAGTTCTAGTGTTAACGAGACACAAGATGCGGTCCTTTATGAAACGATCTATTTCCAAAATGGGTCGTGCGTAAGAGTGACGGGGCGAGATCTTTGTAGAATACATCGGCGACGATGTACCGAAAATAATCCACGTGGCATCGTACAGTTTTCGCACGAGCGCGATCGCGTCTGGGTCGTTCGTTGTCGGAGAAACAAATAAAACGGGAAACATCGAATGACGATGAACCGGTTGCGATCCAAGGAAACAATATATGTATACATATAGATGCATACTAACGGGGACCGTAAAAATTCCATCGGCAACCGGTCAGCACTAGAACTACCGACGATAAACGTAATCTATGTAAAATGTAGAAATTTATTAATTAACTCTGGTAGTCCATCTAGCCCTCGTGAAAAGTGATAATCAGTAGGTGCCCATTTTTCTATTTAGACAAGACACGAGGCATCAACAATCGTTGTTACAAGAGTATACTAACCAGCAATTTTATTTGATTTTAGTAGTTCTAGTGTTAAAAACGAACACCGGAGAGAAAAGGAAAGGAAAGAAAAAGTAGGACGATACTGAGAAGAAAGTAAGAAAATAGATAACCTTAAAGGTCCTGCTCATCTCGAAAATTCTATTGACCCGTTTCTCCGAAACGCTATCAGAGATGCAATAAAAGTAACTAAGGGAGAATTTATTTTCCTTGATATCGGTAACAGCGTAGGGGACCCAACATAACCGCGGAGACGTGCCGTCTGATCTTAAACGGCTGCTACCACTTATCGCATTCCCATCTCGACTCGTGGCTCGGTTACTCCACTTTCCGTGGAGCAATGAAGCCGAACGACGCACCGCCAATACCAGCTGACTCCCTCCGTCGTTTCAGGTTATAATGCGAATCTACTTATATTCTTGACAATGACGCGTGGCGGACCCGTGTGGGTGCCTACTCGATTCGAAACCACCTACCTCTGGGCCGAACCGCCAAAGGTGATCTTGAGATGCGAACGAGCAACACAGCCTATCCCCTTCTGTGTGCGTGTGTATGAACGTAAACACATTTTCCGTCTACACAAACGGAGGATCGCGTATGCGTAAATCGCACCAACACGATTCTCGACTTCCTAATGGCCGCGTAAAAGAGAAGACATACCAGATGTTGTTCACACTTGAAGGTTATTACTTATAAGTGACAGTAATACCGTCTCATTTCCTGGCTGTTCCACTTCGCGAGAACAACCGCGGGACCCGCAGGCCTCGACACCATGCGGTCGATTTACAAAAGTCGATCCAATGCCGGGTCTGCGCTTTCGTAAACTGTATTGTCACTTTGTTGCTCCGGGTCCGCGCTAAAAACACACCCGAGTAGATACGGTTCGCAGCGGGAACCACTAGTATGCCGAGTCAAATTGTGTAATATATGTATAATGCAATATAGCGTAGTATACAATAATAATATGAAGCGTATAAGAAATTAAAGGTTAACATAAATTCCGATTAAAGTACCCCTAGGGTTTCAGTAATTGTACAATAAACAACTACTGTCGACTGTTCGATCTCGCAGAGTGTGCCCCGGGTTCGGTGATGTCGCGACCAAATTTCACGAGTGCTTCCGACAAACAAGGAACACACTTTCCACGGAAAATCAGGGGATTAAGAATAGCGAGGGAATCACAGACGGTGATAATGCCGTAAAGTATTTATCGGCCGTTCCACTTTTGCTGTGAGCGTTCGGGATCAGCGGGACGCTAATTATTATTTATGCGGGTACTTTACGCGACGATATAAATACTATCGATCTTGCGCAACCGTCGAGTTTCGGGCAATGAATTATTCCGGTGGCAGCTGCCATTATGTTCCACACAGGATGCCACGCCGGGTAAGATATTTATCTCTCAAAGAGATCGACCATCTCTCTCCGACGAACGTTCCTCCTTATGGGAACACGCTTAATTAAACTTCGAACGGTGAAATCGGAGTTTGAAATTAATACCGTAGACGGCGTAGAGACACGGCCAAGTCGCCGTGCCGAGAACATTGATTCGAGAAAGGACGTTGAAATATCGTTATTGAACCCGTGCTCACAGAGGTTAGATTCTGTGAATGATTACGAATATAATATGTATACCTACCGTCCCGAATCCACGCGTGTCTCTCTGCACAGAGACACCGGACGAGAGCGTTCACGAGGATAACCTTGCGGTACGATAATTCGAGAACGACGACGTCTCCGACGACTTTATTAGCCGTCTTCCCGTAATTATAAACGATTCATTAATCATGATAACGGGGGCTTGGTCGGCAGACCCGCCGGCTGAGAAATTATCGATTCTGTTGTTGCATCGAGGTTACCGTGCCAACACTTTAAACACTCTCGCGCGCGAGGAGGACTTGTCTAGGTATACACATTTCTTTCTTTTTCCCCCTGATAACAAGACTTCTTAAACGGCGCCAGAGCTCGGTGCTACTCGTTTGAATTGATAATCGAGCTTACTCCCTAATTGGTAAATTGCCCACGAAATCGGCCGACTTCGTCCAAACCGGCGTCTGTACAACCGAAACCAACAATGGGAACAGCAATCGAATCTCGCTTTTGTGCTTTTGTGCTTTTGTGCTTTTGTGCTTTTGTGCTTTTGTGCGTCGAGTCGTCGGCTTAATGAGTCGTTTTCATTAAACTGCTAATTCAAGCAACATCGTGTGCAGTCGTTAGCCTTAATCATCATTACGGTGACGTGCCTACAACGTCGTCTGTTCACGGTCTCCGTCCGAGAATTATATCTGTACGCGACACGACTTCGGGATGAAATTCGATTGACCTGTTCCTTTGGAAATTAACCCATCGCTGGAGAATAAACATTTAGACTCTGAGGCTAGAATTTCGCTGCTTGATAATGGTGAAGTTTTACAATGAGAGCTATCTAATCGTGAACTAAAATAAATATGCTGCCCACCCGGGGTAAATTTCGACTTTAATTCGCGACAGAGGAAACGGAATCGTATCCAAAGGACAGTTTGCAAAACGCGCCGCAGCCCCACAATTACACGACGACCGGACGCCCAGGCCCATAAATCCGTGCGCGAGAATAAAACGCAAACGCTCGGTAAAACTTTTCGTCCCGACCTTTTGTCCTTAGCCGAATCGGATATTGCGTTCAACTCTCGAAGCCATCGTGCAAAAGTTGCACTCGTAATGCGTCTCCTGCCTGCGTCAGCTTTTCATTTGGTGGAAAACCAAAGAGTTCGTGGAAAGAAGCAGACACTCCTTTTTCATCGTTTAAGTTGCAGAAAAAGTAGCTCACTTTTTTCTTTCATGAGATCCTTTAGGTCCGCCCCCGAGAGAACGCGATTTCACTTATTGCGAACATAGAACGTAAACCGATCCAGTTATATACCCGGGAACACTTTATATTGGAAAAACGGAAGCTACTCGCCGATTTATTGTCGCGCCAACGCTTCGTTAACAACAATTGACGCATCGAACAGGCAAATTAGTTTTCGAGCGGTGGGAGCTATATCGCTGCACACAACATTTGAACGATTCGCTAATCGAAACAATTTATCCGAATGAAACGTAAAGGCGGCACCTGGTAATCCGCGAAAGTTTAATTAAAAACATAAAAATAAACGTTACTAATGAAATTTTCTGTTCGCTGAACAACCAGTGTTGTGTCAAAAAATACACCAAATTTGAATATCCTTGTTAAATTTTCGGTTTTTTCTTGTTTCGTGGCGGTTATTGAAAACGCAGCATGCGATCCGTTCCGCTCCGAATTTAAATGGCGTTCGAGAGAATGTATTGAAAACAGCGACACGCCGATAGGTTAAATCAATATGTATATATGTATATATGTAAAGAAAATACCAAAATGGGTAACCACGTTTCCGCATGTACAAAATCGGCGACGTGGAAAATAGGAAAGGACAAATTAACGATGGAACACGAGTGTGCCAATCAATGCTCGAAACGACACGTAAATGGACGGAACCGATCGCGTCCGATTGAATTTAACACCGATATCCCGATCCAGAAACAGTATTTCGGCTGTTTCGAAACACACGATAGCACATTCTCTAGCAATTAATTCGACAAACGACCGTTAACTCTGACAAAGGGAAATTGTAATTATCGCGAATGCAAAGCGTAATTTTTTACCTTACGAATAATGTCCTGTGGATGCTCAATAAGCTGGATGACAAACGGTCACGTTCCGTCCATAGTCTTATGGTTCGTCGTGCGTTTCCTTGTTATGATTCTTTCGTGCTTTTCTTTCCACGCACTCACTGCCCGAAATTCTAGCGGACACTAACGTACTGCACGAGACACGATATTACACTGATCATCCTTGAGTCAGAGACCACGGCGTATGACATTCCTACTCCTGTTACTGTTTACAAAGTAAAGTCGAGCCGAGGGTAATGTTTACGTTACGTCTTGAACACGCTCGAATGGTACAGACATTGTTGCGTACGTATCGAAAAGGTCGACAAACCTATCGATACTCCCGACGATCGTCCAATGATCGCGCGCCCATTTTACGCGCCATCTTTGAATGTATATCAAAACTTACGAGACGTCCTCCTTCTTTTTCATAACGAACATATGTACTGTTCAAGTTTTTATTTGAAATTCGTACAATTACTTTCGAAATATCGTTGAATCATTGCGATCCTCTCTTTCTCTTTTTTGATTACAGATCCCTGGAAATCTTCGAATAATCTTCCATCGGAGGAATTACCATGGAATCACGGCACCATTGCAGATGTACATACGAAAAGATCCCGGAAGTTCTATCGTGATTGGACAAATTGAAATTGGTTCGGCGACGTTTCAGAGAGGACCGGAAGAGCCGTGGAAAGCTAGGTAGCGGTTGAAAACGGTGATAAAATGGTCGTCACAACACCGAGGCTGTCGTCAGCCCTCGGCTCTCACAAAGTCAAAAGGTAGTGAGAGTCGACACGAAAACGTAAGAGCTCGAATCGTTTCCGATAATTTTACGATACTCGAGGGCAGTTCTCGTTCTCGGGGAAAATTTTCACCGTAAAAAGAACCATCGAAAGACTGTCCGGCGACGGAAATCGAAACGATCGTACCAGCAAAACCGCTCGGTGAACGGACGAACGTGATCAAGGGAAAATAGTAAATGTCCGTTCAAAAATGGTGACGTGAAATCAAAGCGAGTGACCACGGTGGCAACTGATGAGGAAGCAGGCGAAGAAACGTGACGAAAGTAGCCCGAAACGATGGAAACGAGCTACGTGCCGATCAGTTTGACCGGTCTATTTGATTTCATAGTTTGCGGTGTGCTGGTGAACGTGATCGGTCTTTTCGGTATATTCGGTAACGCGATATCGATGATCATTCTATCGAGGCCTCAGATGAAATCGTCGATAAATTACCTTCTGATCGGCCTAGCAAGATGCGACACGGTACTGATTCTTATCGCGGTAAGTTCGTGAATTCTGCCCCCGCCGTGTTCACAATGTCACTTTTCGACGAGTAAAGGTACGTATCCACTTGTAACGTATCCCCGTATCGTATCACCGTTGTGTAACAATGTGGACGAGCAAACGTTGCATCATTGGGTATGAAAATGTATCGCATGGTGATACGATACGATGATACGCAACAAATAGATACGCACCTTAAAACAAACCCCTTCCATAGTGTGTAACCACGTTCGGAAAAAAACAACGACACGCGCGGATGTCGTTAGACGCTTGGCTTTAGAGCTTCTAAAAATTTATGCGAGCACTCCCGGGCGCCAGCTCCCCTCGGAAGAGTGGCTTAAAAGGGTTGGCGCGTAGTGGCGTCTTAAATTTCGAGACAGAAATGACGCGAAAGAATTGGTTTCGTTATCGCTCGAACAGCTTTTAATAAGAATTCCATCCTCGCGAACCTGCAACTGACGTTCGCGCAATCCGCCCGTCCGGGGGCCTAATTACTTCGATGCACGCGATGACAAACATTCGCCGTTAATTTATCGGTTTGTGCGAACGCGACGGCTCCAAGAACTTGTAACTAGAAACAAAACAAGTCTAAATTAACCTCGACTCTGCGTACGAACGAGATTTAACCCTTTTTAGAGGGAATACTTGAAGTTTTCGATGGAAAATGTTCAGATCTACTTTATTACCAATGAAAATGCAAATCCTCACTGACAGAAATTAGATATTATCCGACGACAGAATTTGATACACTTTTAAAATGAATGTTGCGACTATGCAACACTGGGAGTTAAAGAGTTAAGGGTGTCGTTAAACGTAGGGCCCGACGATAGCGTATCGAACGGAACGAAATTCACTCCGATAAATCTCGAATTATCCAGATCACCGACAACGATTAGGATACCAGTTCCCGACGATAGCGGCCAGTTATCTCGAGGAGAACCGGCAACTGTTTACTCGCGGAAAATATCCGCCCCGCTCCATCGATCTGTTGGACGCAAACCCTTACGGTTTCATCGCCAAAATGAACCTCTTGAGGTCAATAGGCCAAGATCCTCGACGAGTGTTCTCGTGTCCGTGTAATCTCGTGTAGTTTGTCAGAGAAGTTTTGGTTTCGATCGTTTCATAGTCGAGGAATTGTACTCGGTTCTTTCTTATACAGTACAATTATTGTTTCGTTGCGTTTCCAGGTGTTAATTTACGGCTTGCCTGCGATTTACGCGTACACCGGCCTGCTGTTCGACTACAAATTCATCGTCTACCCGAAGATCGTCAAGTTCCTGTACCCGTTGTCGTGCATGGCGCAAATAGCAACGGTGTATCTAACGTTAACAGTCACGCTGGAACGATACATCGCTGTTTGTCATCCCCTGAAAGCAAGATCCTTCTGTACATACGGCAGAGCTCAGCTGGCTGTGCTCGTTATCGTGATATTCTCCTTCATTTATAACCTACCAAAGTTAGTGGATCTCCTTGAATATATGTATATGTATCTAACCGTTCGCCAAAATGGTCGTGGACAAAAAAAAGAACTCCTAGGTAAGTAGACGTTTATGATTGTTCGTAGATTCTGGGAGATAGACTTGTACACGGAAGTTCACTGGAAGTACAACGTGACGGTGTACTGCCTGTATCCGGCGGAACTGCGAAGCAACGACCTATACGTCACCGTCTACGTTCACTGGATGTATTTCTTCATTTGTTACCTTTTCCCGTTCCTCGCGCTGGTGATCTTCAATGCGGCCATCTATCAACGGGTGAGCAAGATCAGTAGTAGCTAGAATATTGCATCATTTGAATATAACAACGGGAGAATTTATTTTAATTACGTTACCGATCGCGAGCCGAGACGAGGGATGGTGCAACATGAATGTTAATTCCGTATACGGAGGACATCTTTCACTTCCGGGCAAACGGTTGAAATACCGGGAGGACCAGAACGCGTGGAAAACAGAAGCGAGAGAGATAACTTTTCTCTCTGTAGTTCCCAGTTTCGTGATGTCCGTAATTTCGTTCTGAAACGACTCACCGAACGAGTCCTTCGATTCTAACGAGCATTCGCGTCGGTACCATTCCCCCGCGTACGAATCGATCCTAGGAAAAGAAAAATACAATTGTCGAACAACGATGCACACATGCGGGTATTACTTTTTGTGTCTGACATAACGCCAGACGATAACGGTGCATAGCAAACGATGTGACGTAAACTTTTCGCTAAATTGAATCTGTGCAGCTTTCGTTTCACGCAAGTACGCCTGGAAAATCTTCTATGCCGTGATCGATATAGGAAGACATTTTGTGACATTTCGTGTAAGCGACACGATAAAAGTATAGGTACAGCAGAAATTCAGCTAATCGATTAGCCGACGGAATGCCAATTTTCCAAATGGCGTCACGCCAGATAAATCGTTGCGCTCGCTCTCGCAGTCTCCCGCGAGAACCACACAAGAAATTTCTTTTCCAAACGCGAGAGACAATCCCACGAGAGGCAGAAGCGAACGTAACTCTTCTTACGCGCAGAGAAAAAATTTAAGAATCGAGAAAAGGAGTAAACAAGCGGATTGAAATCCGCGAATACGTACGATTTTCATATTTTTATGACACGTAAAAATTCTACTATCCAATCCTAAATTTTTACGATTGCTCGAACGTATTGTATAATCTGAGCCAGCTTTACGACATCGAAGGCAGCAAAGTGTAAAATAGTGAAGCACACCTATATGACATTGCGAGCACGTGGAATGACCTCCACCCTTCCAACCCTCTTTCCGTTTATATGTATATGGTTTCACCCAAATCTATGAAATGAATATTTTGTGTTTGGTATGCCTGGTGAATCGCGTTGCGCAAAGCCACATCGATTAAGAGAAAGGGGGAATGCAAGGAATTTCGCTGAAAAATTAGACTCCTCCGGGCGGAGTCTGAGATCCTTTCGATATACAAGTCCTTGGTGGAATTCCACACAAGTGTCTGAAAGAAGGAACAGTGGAGGAACATGAAAATGATCGTAGCCAGGGGGTAGCAATAAAGGTACATCCCGCCTGGGACCACTCGTGGCCATACATTGTTTCGTCGGGTTTTTGTTGCTTTCTTAAAGTAAAGAGAATAATACCCCTGACCCAACGACCGTGCTTACTATTTTATTTTTCACTTTTCGCGCGCAACAAGGGAACGACTAATTATTTTCGTATAGCCACTATCCACACCTCTCCCTCCCTACCTCGTTCTGGTTCAGCTTTTTTACACTAAATAAAACCCGAGACACGGCGATCCGATGAACCACGTAATTAAACGGTTGTGTTTCTTCGAATTCATCGACCACGTACACCAGAAATACCTTCAAGTTCAAACTTGAAATTCTATCGAGGCAAACTTTTTGTTAACTTTCCTTTCCGTGCTTTCTCCGAATGCTTACATGTTGCCGGTGTTTGTTAAATATCAGAGCACTACTGTCTGTTTCAGGTCCGTAAAGCGAACAGAGATCTACAACAGCTGTCCCGGCATCAGAGGCGCGAGATCGGTCTCGCGACGATGTTACTGTGCGTGGTGATTGTATTCCTAATTTGCAACATCTTTCCGCTCGCCTCGAACATTTACGAGACTTTCCTGAACGATCCACCGTTATGGCTGGTGCAGACAGGCAATCTCCTCGTTACGATAAACAGCAGCATCAATTTCATCATCTACGTGATCTTCGGCCGAAAGTTCAAGAGGATATTCCTGAAGCTGTTCTGCAGCTCGAAATTATTCGGGCCCGGACGTGACAGTCCGGAATTCCAAACGTACGACGAATCGATCGTCACGAACATGACCAATATAGAACTCAGGAACTCTATCAGGCATTATCACCTGAACAGGTCGAGCACCATCGGTAGAAACAATAACGTTTCGAACGGGAACACGCGATATAGCTTGAAAGCAACCGGAAGACCCGGCAGTCCGGGGCCCTGCGTCTACTATCCGGCTAGAAGTCCCGTCAGAAGTCCGAGTCAAATGTCCAGAACGTCCAGCAATCAAAATGAATGGGGCAAAAAAGACGTGGATTCAGTCCTGTAGCAAATCGCACGTTAATACGTCGAGAGGACATTCGTGGGCAATGATGCAGATCCTCCATCGAGGGCTGTTCCAGATAGAATTGTGAGAAAGTTTTTCGACAGAAGGATCGTCCAAGTGGCAAAACTGGATTCTCGCAACTCTCGCGAATCTTCTTCGTTTAGTTCCTTTAAAAACAGAACCGCGAACTTCTTGATGCACTTCCACATATTTTTAAATATCAATTCTCAATTCTTCGAAGACTCGATCATTCGATTATAGAGAAACGAGTGTCCTACAATTGAAACTCGATCTTCCGCGACCTTTTTATCTATTCTCGAGTCTTTGCTCTTCCTCCTATTGTTAGCATAAAGAGAACATTTGACTGTACCTACCATGCTTGCGACCGGCGTCTCGACAGATTCCGGGGCAGAATCACGCGCGGCGATTCGTCGCAAGTTTGATGTCATTTAAACGATTATTAACAAAACTTCCAGAACACGATGCATTTTAACATGCAACGTGCGACTGCTTCATCGTGTACATATTCTGTATTGTATATACAACGGCATTTCAACAGCGTAAACGTGAAAACGAAAATACATAATCGTTTCTCTATCAGCGGTAAGGTCATCATTCTCCGGTTGCTCAAACTGTGTCCAACCCCGAACTTTCCGACAAAGAATGGAACTTTAAAATGTTTTGCACGGTCTATCGGTACAGTGACAAACAAGATTAGGACGAATGATCACCTTATACGATTATAAATGTAATATGTAAGTAGGACAATACGAAAATACTTCATGTGAGAAAACGTCTCTTCGAACATACTATAACTCACCACGGTTTTTTTTTTTTTAAATTGTAAATACTGATTACCAATTGTGTTATTTTGATATGTTACACCGCGCGGACACCCGAAGCTCTCTCTCGATGCATCAATAACTGTCTCCGTGAGACAGATACTTCCTTTTTGAAAGAACATAATTACAACAAGAAAAAAATACGACCAAACAAATCTAGATTTTCTGTTATTCTTTAGACTTTTAAGGTTATCGAACTCTTTGTATTTCAACAAAAATACAAACGTGAATACAGTATTATTAAACCCCCCCCCCCGCCCCGCCGCCGTTTCCCAGCACATCTTACGATGATCAGGCAAATACAGATAATATTCACGAAAAGTCGAAAAAAATTTGTTTGTTTTCAGGTTCAAAAAATACACAAGAGAATGATTAATGTGAACATTATCAAGATATTTGCCTTTTCTCTGGTTAAAATACATACGTATACTATACAATTTGCCTCCTCGGAACCATTGAGGCACACGAATAATTTCTAAACATCGTATCGCACATATTGTTCTGAAATATTAAGGTGTATCGTACGGATAAAGGTAAAGGAAAAAATTTATTTTTGTTACAATACGCTAATCTATTCTAAAAAAAAATATACGTACGTAATAAATTTCGCTCCGTATTTCCTCGAAAATATGTCGTGAAGAAAATCAGCGCGCATTTCAGTTCTTCTGGATTTACACATTAGTATGTCAGAATTAAACACATACATACAAACGTGTACCTGAAATCATATACTATGTAAGTATGTAGATCTCTTAGATTCTTCCATATTCTTTATCGTAAGCGCAACGTTCCGTTGAACACTGAACATGTCGTTTAAAAGTAGATTTACTACATAAGTATTTATCGTTTCACATTAAGCAACAGACGATTAGACGAGTGAACAAATTTTTTTAAAATCAATACTTCAAATACCATACCGGGCATAAAATCGATCGTAAATATCAAAATACGACATACTCTGCTAGAATTTTTTGTAGAGACTAAATTCTACTTTAAACGATTCCAATAATGAAAATAATGGAAAATATTTCCATGCGATACAAATAACGAAATTGAAACTTGAATAAAGGGAAAAGAAACGCTCTTGTAATTATACGACAAAAAAATTACATGAACTAAACGAATATACATTATATTCTAGTCATGAGATTTCTATCAAACTATAATTATATTATAAATCTTTGTGATTACATATGTATATACACATGTACATGTCTAACGATAAGGAACACATCATCGCATAAATAAAGTGTTACTTATATTATTTTGTCTCTCTGATATTTTCATTCGCAGGCCCAACATTTCAAATGTAATCGACAAAGTACAGTTTTATTTCTTTAATTTTATCCTATCCAATCGACTAATAATAATTACAGATCTCTGTAAAAATAAGTTCTGAAATCATACATGTTTGTTGTAAACTTATAGTTTATTTATTTCGTCGATTATTTTTCACAAACCAGTTTTGTTACAAGTCGAGTAGTGCCATGTATGAGATCGCAATAAAGGAAACGAAAATAAACCCTGTACGGAGGTAACGAAACAGGAGATCAGACATTGCACCACTTTGCACAATCGTTCGTTGAGCAAAAGTCGTAAAAATAAATCAAAACTATCAACGAACAACGATCCAAGAATAGCCCGTTACTTCTTTATTTCATACATAACGAAATTATAGTACAGACATTATATAATACATCTATCGGTCCTCGTTCACGAATCAATTCGTAACCGCCTTTTTCTTTGGTTTTAAGTAGAAGTAGAGGGCTATCAGAGCGAATCCAGCGTACGTTGCTTTGGCAACCTATAAAATAAAACAGCAGGTTTAAAATGTTTTCAACAATTGCAACATAAGTTACAACGCAGTTTCAGAATAAAAACTGAGAAACGTTGGAAAGAACAAACATTGAGGTTACTCACATTTGCTCGTCCAGTATCGGTGACACTGTTGAAGTATTTTGAAAGTCCAGTTAATTTTTGTTCCGGTGAATCTGCACCAGCCATTGTCTCTTGCCTAGAATCAACGCTGCACAAACGTAAACGTAATAAAACCGTATCACCTATCAAACACACCTCGACCACAGTTCGATGAACAATGTCACGACGATTTTTCACGTCTATCACTGATCAAGTTACGTTCAACCAACACCAGATGGTGCACCCAACATCCGTTAATATACAAAGGTCGAATAAGATTTACATTTCAAAAATTCTCTTAACAGCTTAGGCATATTTTCTTAAATTATTGGTTTGCTTCGAAACGAGAGAAAGTTAAAATTTCAGGAAAATATCACTTTAATACTTACATATAAATATAGTACTGTATAATGATATACAATATACAGAATAGGATACACTTGTATTGTCTTTCGAAAATAATAAGAAATGAATGCCCAACAGGTATTAATATCAGTTTCGCATAAATGAAATAAATACTATCGATGTAACTTAACAATTACGTAAAGTATTTGTTAATGTCATAATGTTATAACATAAAATAAAGTCTTTTTACACTGTTCCACAATCAACAAAGTAAACAAGTTCTGTTTCAAACATATTATCAATAATTAATGTATAAAGAATACTTTATAATTCTCGCATGCCTGTAATGCGCTTCGAAAATTGTTCATATGCATGTATAATCATCTGAAAAATGATAAGTTATAAGATTGTGTAAAATTCAAAGGATATTATACACTTTAATACTATTTACCCAAATTTCATGCATGATGGAATTGGTCGCAACTGGATATGAAATAGCATCATTTATTTCTTGCATAGATAAAATTTTCATTTTGCTCAATGTTCTCAGTGTTGATTTCAGTGATATTAACTGAAGGCTGCCTGGACTATAAATAATGTCCCTCGTTTTCTCCATCAAGCTACTATTGAAAAAAAAAGAAAATTACTTGAGCAGTTCGCTTGATTAATTGATCAACATCCTGTCTAAAAATACCTGTCCAATTCTGAAAATTCTACGCTGCATTGATTTTTGGCAATTTCTACAATTGGTAGATGTATATTCAGTATTCGCGATGCGTTTACCATGTGCGGGATTGTTTTAAATTGGGTAAACGATGCAAATTCGTCTGCTAACAGCCATCCTTCGTTTTGATAATGAAAGATGTGCACCAGTCGCTTTGGTAATTCTATACAAACACAGCACACACGAGTAAAATATGCTCATAATTCATTAATAACAAATCATTATGAATATACTTACTAAACAATAGGCCATGTATTTTATGTTTTGGAGATGTATACATTGGAACTGAACAATTTTGGTTCGCATATGTAGATATGTTAGAATTGGTTGCACCCCACACATACTTTGCCCTACTGTGATCTTGGCTCGAATTCTTTACTCCTGCGTAATCAACGCTAAGTCGAGGTTCTGGAATACCTTTCACAGCACCGTTTTCAATATTCTTATGCGGAAATTGATTTTGATTACATGTTACTTTCAAATCATTATACTCCTTAGACGGAGAATACAGTTTATCCAATATTACGGGCTGAGTAGGAATCGTATCTACAGCAGATTTAATCCACATTTTCGTAGAAGTACTGTACTGATCTGCAGCATTAGTCGTTTGGACTAATGGGGATGATCTGTATGAAGTATGAGATGTAGATGGTCGAGTTGAATATCCCTCGTCAATGTTTGTGTTATCTTGTACTGTTACTACAGGAGAGACAAAATTATTAGTGGGTAACCACGATGTCGTTGTACAATGATTCATAGTGTTATGCGTTAAGGCGTGAGTTTCCTCTTGTTTCGGTTCTATGACATGTTCTTGTGAATTATTCCTGAGATATGAAGGTGTGTAAACATACGCCTCGTAATTATAATTTCCAGAATTTAATACGTTCCCATTATTTGCTTCCATGTGTTTCTTCATTTCATTAAGTTGATTCATACTGTGCCGACTCTGCGTTGCCAACGGGCTATTGACAGTGCTTTTGGCGAAACTGTTAGCAGCATTATTCACATTCCATAGATAATCAGTGGAAGTAGGTACTGTAATGAATGCAGCTGACTCGATACTAGTATTAGGTGCGTTCCTTGGATTGTGAAGAGAATAATACTGGTGATAATTAAATGGAGTCTCCGTATAAACGTGCGAAGTATCGGGATTCTTATTTATAATTTTGGTATTGTCTTTCTCGAAACTGTTTAAATCATGTTCAATAACTGATTCCCGAGTTGTGTGCGGCACAAACGAATCATCTAAATTCGAACAGTTTTCTTCCTGTGACTCTGGTATTCGTAATTTATTTGCTAGACTAAGTTTGAAGGGATTGGTTTCTTTCAAGGGTTGGTTCAGGTCTACAGGTGTTTCCAAAGCTACCGGACAGCTAGCATTCGTACTGTTTGTAAAACAATTTTGACTATCCGAATTAAATTTCATATTAACATTTTCCATTTCGGAAGTTGCATTTTTCATCATAGGTATTTGTTTACATGGCGATGATTGATTTGCTACATTTAAAGTATTGCTTTCGAGCGTAAGGAAAGTCGAATATATTGAATTTAAATTTTTTATCGAATCTTGTAAGAAATCAGTATAACTGTTTACATCCAGAGTATTATTTTCAATATTCTTTGTATCGTTGGTAGCAACTGAACAAGCATTTGTAGCATTAGTATTTACCATATTGCTTGTGGCTGGGTTGCTATTATTCTTAACGTGCGAATTAATGTCTGTAGCACTATTTATTATTGGATTGTCATTCACCTTTGTGCCTGATTTTTGCATAACTTTCTTAAAAAGTATCTGAAATGTAGCAGTTATTTGAATTTGTAATTTTAAGTTTTCATTCCACAACTGCATAAATTTTTCAGGTGTTATTTCGCATTTAGACTGATCGCAAATTGGTTCATCTTGCATGAACGGATTTGTGTTAGTTTTTGGTGGCGTAAATGAATCAGGTTTTGTGTCAATTTTAGAAGCCTGGTATTGTAAATCACTTTCTTTAATTGCCGACAACTTTTGCAGTTCGTCGGATGATTCATGGTGCGAAGGAAACTTAAAATCCTTGTCACCTAAAGTACTTTGAGGGGATATCAAAGGTGCGTTGACAGATGTTTCTTCTGAATTCTTGTTTCTGGCACTACCTACTTTATTTTCTTCATCGTAGCATTGCTCAGGTACGTACAGTAAATTCTCTTCCACGTAAAGTAATAAATTCTGCATATCAACTTTATCCCCCTGTTTCAAAAAAAAAGGAAAGTTCAAATAAAGTGATACTTTATGAAGTACTTATGTCTACAATGCATGAAGCCACTAGTTTGGGAAAAATGATCGCTTTATGAGATCATTGTAATCGGCATAAAGTAAAATGTACACAATTGATTTCCTTGTTTGAATATTTTTATTATTTGAATAAAAAAGCATAGTACATACAAGTATTGTGATAACATAAAGGTCCTATTTTTCCCAAAAACTTAAAACGATAATTTGCACTATTACGTTTAAAAAATGCTGCTTTTAATGGTTCATTTAATTATAAGAAACGTAATTTATAGTAATTTTACAAAGTAGCACTGTATAACTGATATAAAACTTTATAACATACATGATAACATAACACAAGTTAACATACATGATTATTAACTTCAATAACAATTGTTAATTTACAATGCACTTTATTCTATCAGATTTTCATGCGAACTATTGTTTAACCCTCAAGTTCACCTCTTGCCTTTATCTTATTTAACATTTCTAACAATGTTTTCGATCTCCCTGGGGACTTTCTAGTTAATAAAAGTATGTTGGTTAAGATAGAATCATTTTTATTGCCTGCTTTCGCATTAGTTTCAAAACATGTCGCAGACGCACGAATTGTAATAGATTTACTATCTTCATTTTTTAAATTTTCAAATTCGTCGCTCGAATGATCTATGCTACTTATAAAACTAGTTTCTGAATGTAAATCTTTGGAAACATTATTAATACACCGATCACTACGGTTGTTTACCCAGTTCGAATTTTTCGTTAAATCTGAATCATTTACTTCTTCTATTGTCAAATTCGTGTCAAGTTCAGGGCCCAATGTGTTTTGAATATTTTTATTATAAGGAGAATCAATTTGAATGAAATTGTGAACGTCGGTAAACGACACATTCACATCCCATTCTGCTTCATCAGATTCTATATCAATATCATTAAAAACTGGTACATTGCATGTTTCCGTAATTACATCAGGCGGTAATGTTTCGCTTACTGGTACCAATTCTATCGATACCTCTTCTTTCTTCGAATTTTTTATTTGTTCTGCCTTTTCCACTAATTGTTGTACTTGTAACATAGAGTTTTGCAAAAATGGTACTTCATCTGTAAGCACTGATTTTTTCATTGAAATTGGCTCTCTTATTAACGTAGATTCTTGTGTTACTACCGATTGAATCGGTATCAATTCATTTGCTACTAATGATGTTTGTGATACTAAGCTTTCTGTAGGTGCTAATTCTTCATTCGATTCATATGTATCAGTAACGGATTTGGATGATTCTGATGGCACTGAACTTACTGTAGGTGCTACTTCTTCATTCGATTCGTATCTGTCACTGACAGATTTGGATGATACTGATGGCACTGAACTTACTGTAGATGCTAATTCTTCGTTCGATTCATTTCTGTCAGTAACGGATTTGGATGGTTCTGATGGCACTGATCTTACCGTAGGCATGATTTCTTCATACGGTTCGTATCTGTTACTGCCAGATTTAGATGATTCTGACATACCTATGCTTTCCGTTTCAATATGATCATGTGAACTATTATCAGCCATAACTTTTGAGCAAACCTTACTCGATATACATTCATATTCTTTCATTTGAGATGTATCATTATTATAACTGGTACCTTTGTGTGACGATGTCAATGTGTCCAAAGAACTGAGGTCGTCTGAATCTAAGTCCAAAGAATAACTTGATACTTGTTGCATCATTGATAGTATTTGCATCAGTCTGTGTTTCGGAATTTGTGCTTTCATACGTAGATAATGATTCTCGAACTGACTTGTGCTTTTATCAGAACTGGTTAGAGAATTCTTATTACAAAACGTGTTATCGTCATTTGAGATGTGAGAATCATTACCCATTAAACTGTTACTCTCCTGTATGGTGCTGACAGATTGTACTTCGTTTATTTTGTCGGAAGACTCCGTAGACAAATTCTTTTTCATCAATATATTCAATATTTTTTTAGGAATAGCTAACGTTTTTGCATTCGTACTACTTGCTGCGCGTTTTTGTATATTTCTTAAAACTAATGGAGATGAATCGTCCATTTCATTAACATTTCCAGCTGGTGACCAACGTATGTCTTCATCATGTATAGCAAAATAAACACTACTTTGAACTACTGCTAAAAAGCGACTTTCAGCTAACAGTATATTATCCCGCCTTTCTGTTACTGATTCATAAATTTTCTCGGGTATGCTCTGCTGTGAAATATATTTATTCTTTTGTGCTACATTTTTTCGAATAATGGACCAATCCATATGTTTGGACTCGTGTTCTTTGTTACAAACGTCGGTATATGTTTCTGCATTTTCCGGGTCTTGTATATGAAAGTGATTAGCATACGCTTTCGGTATATTTACATATTTCTTTAGAATACCTTCTTTCTCAGTTGATAGTAAACTAATTTTCTTTTCTTTTTGTGATTCTGAAGATACAGAAGACTCATTCAAGTTGTTATTAAGTTCTATAGTACCGATATATTTTTCATTAACTTTTTGTTTGAATTTAATTCTTGATAATAAATCAGAACTTGAAGATCCAGTGGTTTTTCCATTATCATTAAATTCTTCATGGTTCTCATCACAAGATGATCGATTTCGCTTAAGATTCATTAATTTTTCATATAAAGACATTAATTTCCTTGATGTTTGTTTATCTATATTTAATGCATAGTTTGTTTCTTCAAAGGAAGAACTATCTTTTGGATATTCTGGTTCTTTGCTTATTTTTTGACATGATACTGAACTTACTTGATGATCACGGATTGCATGAAAATTATTATACAGTGCTTCTTTATTCTGTGAATAATCTGTAGTGCATATTGATTTAGTACATTCTACTGGTTTCACCGCTTTGCAAGGATTATATATTTTACATTTTTGTTTAACACGACTTTGACATTCTAAATAATAACGAAATGGAAAGTTTCGAGTTTTCATACAAACCATTTTACCATGCTCTGCTAGTTTTTGTTCGACTAGCCAATCATTGATGTGTACATCTTCTTCTTCTAATGTATCGGTCAATGTTACCATTATTGAATTGTCCTAAATTATAGAACAAATAAATGTATAATAATATCTTAAAATAATTGAAGATAATTATAAGTATAGTTAAATAATACTCTTGTTTTTTAATTATGTTAAATGTATTATATATGTTGGTCTCACTTCTATATCAACTGATGCTACTGTCGCAATTAAAGGTGTGCTTGATGTTCTGACAGCAAACTGATGAGTCGCATTGCGAGTCCACTTCAATCCTTTGTATGGCCTTGTATTAATTAAACCACAGGGTATTGCTTGTGCTGGTATACTAGAAAATACTCTGTGCAAATAATATACTGCATCTGGTGGATAAGTTTTCAGTGTACCATAATCATAAAACATCACCTGTAATATATTCTTATCAGTAATGATTACGAATATATTAAAAGGATTAAATACAGTTTTTATCACTTGTATGAACCCACAGTAACTTGCAGATCAGGTTTCACCGTCTTTATGATACCCCTATGCCATATGTTGTTGTACATACATGCACAATTCAAACCCTTTTCTAACACAACAGGTGGTATTACATAATCTTGATGTTTTGTTGTATAAAAAGTACTGAAAATGAGACAATTATTGATATACAATGAAACCATGCTACACATTCAAAGAGTTTAGTCTTATGATACATACTGCAAATCGTCCATAAATGTTTTAAATGATTTTTGCTTTTTTCGAAGCTGCACCCAAAAGAATGATGGAGTGAATACTTCCACAACTACAACTTCTATGTAAGGTTTTTCATCGGTTACTAAGTCTGCGACATTTAGTTGACCCACACTTTCTCCAATAGTTACTATACCATCGGGTATTAATTTCTTACAAGTATCAAGTGACTAAAAATATATGAATGCCATATTTGTATGAACAGCTAATAAAATTTTGTAAATTTAAATTACACAAAAATGTTTTACCAGTGTTGTTGGGAGTGCTTCAGCTTCTTCGTCTCTTTCGTAAATCTGATGTAATTCTGCAAGGTTAACAGTTTTTTGTTTCTCCTTTGAGTTACTTGAAGGTATTCCACTTTTAGCAGAATAGAGTACAAAGTCTCCTGTATTCTCAAGCTGTACACAGTGAAAAATTTCAGTCAACTGTGATGCAAATTCTCTAACACTATTGAAACCAAGTTCTGTATAATTCAAGGAAACTTTATATTCTTCTAAATATTTTTCTGGTAGATCAGCACACCAAATGCCATCAGGGTTATTCTGAATAAGTTTTTCTAAACGAAATCTAACTTTATCACTTATGAGATCTTCTGCATGTGTTCCATCAAGATAATTTTCATTCTCTATATTGCTATTGCAGTTTGTATGAATCTGAATATTATCATTGCAATTATCATTGTACAAATTGTGCGAATTATTTGTATTGGTCTCTTTTTCTCTAGTATATTTATCAGGTTTATCTTCTGTGGTCTGATCTTGCCATTTAAATACAGTCTCCTGTATAAAACTAGATGTGGATTTAGTTTTCATAAATGACTTTGCATCGGATGCATGAGATGTATCACCATGAGGAATAAATTGAAAATCATCCTCATCTGCATAATCAGACATATTGTCTGAATCCTCTTCACCACCTGCAGTTACTTTTGATGATTTTAAATGACTGATCTGTGACTTACTCTGAACTGGAAAAATTTTATTGTTGGATAAATAAACTTTGTGCGATAATTCATGTAATTGGTCCTCTATGTCACTCATTGTAATATTTGCAAAAGGCATGTCCATTTGTATTCTCTGAAGTATGAAATCCTTATTCACGCCATCTGGATGCATATTGACTAAATCGATTATCGTACTTAATATCTTGGCTGATATACGAATCCTAGGAGGACCAGTCTTTGGATAATAATGACTTGGTCTATACGATTTTCTTCCAACTAAGGATTTCTGTTGCTTCTGACCATCTATTAATATACTAACATGTTTGGACTTGTTGGATGCGACACCTTTTACAAAAATTATATTGTTCCTATTTTCTATTTGAACAGTTTTTGACATGCTCTGGAAGAAACTCAGCAACGTAGTATATCCTAATGCTTTCCAAGGTATTTGTTCACATTCTAGATCATAATAATCTCTACATAACTGAGTCAGCGAACAACCTCCTCTTCGACAAACTAACAAGGCTAATATCGTGGTTTCAACGTCTTCACGTGTACGAGAATTCATTGTATTGTGTGAATAATTCGTTCACGAGTGATTCTTCTAGGCGCACGATGCGAATAATTTATCAAAAGATGTAGAAATCCAAATAGTTTCTTGAACGTACAAACATAGTAAGATACTTATAGCGTTCTCTAAAAACGCTCAAACGAATTTAATGCAATTCGTAACAGACTCTGGAAGCTGAAACACAAGTGACGCGTTGAAATCCATCGATATGGAGCATTGGGACAACATAACGTATCATTATTTAAGGTAAACATACTTACAACATAAAGGAGTTCTCATATTCCTTTAACACCGCGTTAATGTACAAAATTAGATTATTTTGTCGAAACTATAAAATCACCATGCGGTAGAATTCAGCGCTACCGCATCCAAACTAACCTTACCGTAGATCCCGCATTAGATGTTCAGCGAAATTTGAAACTCTGTATATTCTGCTTCGTTGCCGCGCAAAGTATCGAACTATCTATAGCGCGGTATTAAAATCGAAATTTAAAACTGCATGAAACATGTGTTAATACAAGTACGTAGGTAGAGGTAATACGTATTGGGTGAAAATATTTAATTTAATATGCATAAACAACGAAATTCATTATTAAGGTTACGTTCTTTAGTTATCAAAGAATTAATATTGAATAATAATTGAAATAATATTGAAACGTTATCGATCAAATACTTCCAATAAGTCAAAATCGATCAAATTCATTAATATTTTTTGTTACAATAATTTCAATTATTACATGTAAATTCATAATATTTGTCTAATGATAATAGTTGTATTCCTAGACGTTCTTTAATTAATGAATTTCGATCAATGAATATCCATATAATAAGAAACGTTACGTATAAACAAGCTGTACAATTATTGTAAGTAATTATATCGTAAACATAAAAATAAATGAATGTTATATGACATTGTAAGTTAAAAATAACGAAATGAATAATTTACGAATCGTCATTCGATATGAACGGATATTTTCATTCTGAATAAAAATTACAGGAGGGAAAATATCAAGAAGGGATGGGATATGGGACAGGGTTACATATAAGAGGAGAAATGTACAACTGATTTGACTATACTTTTTCGGATTAAGTTCGCACACAAGATAAGCGGGCAAGCTTTATTGGTTGGGTGTGATACACAGGCGTCATTGAACTGCAGCTGGGAACAGCTGCATTGTTGTTGAACGAAATGAAAGCAAGCGAGCGCAACCGAGAGCGAAGCGACCGAATCGAGGGAGAGTTAACTAGGTATTTAGTCGAAGATCGAGAAGTGGACATAGAAGTGAGAGAGATCAAAAGAGACGGATGTGTGAGAACGCAATGTGTGTCTGTGTGTATGGGGTGTATGGTATAGCTCCTGCCGATGCGAGCGAACAACGATCTGCATTATAAGACGGTCATCAAGCAGTACATGAACGACAGTCGAGGGTCTTCCTCAATACGTGACAGCGATTGAAGCCTTACGATATCGTAAGAACGTACTTACACACAAGCGTAAAGTTACGTTCGTCGGGTGTGCGGTATTGAAAAAATATTACGTATAGTATTCACCCTTTGTCGCCATAAAAGATGGCACCGTCGTGTTTCGAGGTGATACTCGTCGGTTTCATCCTTGTGTTACCATTCCTCTACGAGATGAGTAGGACCTTCCGTTACTATTTCAAATTCCTTCTCTATTATGGATACGTAATGATCAGTTCGCTTGCGCTACTACCAATTATGATGTTACGTCCGTGGAACGTAAAGAACTTTATGTTAGTACATAATCACAACGAATCTCGTAAACGCTAAATATATTCAAGTACATCTCTTTATTACTTTTCTAAGCTTCGTTCTGTCTTGTTGCTTATATACGTCAGTCGGTATTTCATCTGGAAAGATAATATATTGACGAACAAATTTATTGAACGATGGTGGCATAGTGTTTTCCAGAAGCAGTTCCGACACAGTGGTAGTAATGGTGTGGGGTGGTGGTTTAAATTACTTTCGCCATTCATCCTGTAAATGTCATACACGTGTCCCTTAAGTTATCAATCTAAATAAGTTGTAAAATCACTATTTTCTGTTAAAGTTGTTTTTATTTTGACGACATTGAGTTTAGAAAGCGAATATATTAGTTTTGTTTTTAGATATTGAACGTTCCGTTTACATTTTAAAGACCCGATGATATTCATCATTCGCGTGACAAAATATTAACCCTCTGGCAAAGGAATTAAGTATTGCGAAATCGTAAGTTAATGAATAGCTTAAATATTTTATCGTTATACGTGTATGCGACGTATAGTCTATAAAAAAGCACATTTAAGATTCCCTTTTCGAAATCATGTTTTATTTCTGCGCGATGTTCCAATTTAATGATAATCTATTTCATTTTCGCGTTAATATTCCGAGAAACTGGTTAAAATAGGCATGAACAATACTTTTTTTGCCATTGTAATAATTATTACGTTCAAAATACGCTTTTAATTTATTTATACGAGGTGAACTATACATGTACCTGTGAGTAATAGTGATTTGTTCCATTAAAAAAAAAAAGAATTATTGAATAAAGTAATGTTCTCTTTAAAATTTGATTATACCAAATTGTTTTTTATTGAAAAACAATGGAATTTGAATTTCTGCTTTTGATCCTATGAGGCTAATATATGTATAATAATTGATAGTTAGTATTATGTTTTACAGATTTTTTAATACTCTCTCATTCTTCAATAAATTTGTCAATTATAAAAGAAACTTTGTTGTTATTAGATTAATAACCAAAATTTTTTTTAAAAATTTCATATAAGATATATTTTTAGATTAGCATCATCTGTGTGTTCCTGTCTTACTAATTTCTTGGGAGTACGTTGGGAACTTAGGGGAAGAGAACATTTAGAACAAGATAGAGCATGCATAATAGTAGCAAATCATCAGAGTTCTTTAGATATAATGGGACTGTTTCAAATATGGCCAGTAATGGAGAAGTGCACAGTTATAGGAAAGAAAGAGCTTTTCTACGCATGGCCCTTTGGTTTAGCTGCCTGGCTTTGTGGTTTAATATTCATAGATAGAATGAATTCGGAGAAGGCCCGTACAGTTATGAATACTGCCACAAACCACATTAAGGATAAAAAGGTAATTTTTACACAGCATAAAATGTGTTCCAAAAATATAAAAATAACCTTTGGCAATGTGTAAATTCATTTTTATGCATCTTCTATGTAGATTAAATTATGGATATTCCCTGAAGGCACTAGGCACAATACTGGTGAAATTCATCCTTTCAAAAAAGGTGCTTTTCACGTTGCTATTACATCTCAATTACCTATATTACCAGTTGTATTTTCTTCTTATTATTTTTTATCTTCTAAAGAGAAGAGATTTGATTCTGGTAAGTTTATACATATATTTACTTCAGCCCAAGTACAAAACTACAAACTTAAATCCCAATTTGTATGTAATTCAAAGGTCAAGTTATTATAACATCATTACCACCAATATCTACAAAAGGATTAAGTACAGGTGATATTGAGCATTTAATGCAAAAAACACAAAACGTTATGACGGAGGTTTTTCAAACAACTAGTCGCGAAGTTCAACTTTCAAGCAATTCTGCAGCCTCTTAGAATGAATTAATTATTCCATGGCAATTTAAGTAATAATCCTATTATTTAAAAGTTCAATGGTAACTAAGTCTCAGCGTGGAAGCCAAAGACTATTTTTCTATTCCTTATGTTCTATTTAGTAATTATAATTGTTTTTATACTATATCCAGTATTCATTGCATATGCAAAATATGTGCAAGGGAGTCCTTGGATAAACTTCGTATAGAAATTATTCTCCCTCAATGTTTACTAGCTTCTGCTTTTATTCTATTTAAACATGCGTATCTGAAATTACACCTTCCCTGATTGCTGGTTAAATTTTATAGTAAATCGAAATATAATAAATACCTGTAAATTGCAGTGAACCTTTATATAAATTTTGCGAATTTTATACATTTATGAGGATAAAGTAAATTTTTATTTTTCCTTTAAAATTAGTAAGAGAAAAATTACTTTCAACTATCTTTGATATGTTAAATTTAATGAAGTTTTAATGTTATAAAACAAGAATTATACAACGTAATATTGAAAAATTTCATCATTTATTATTGCATCAATACAATTCACACACTGTGATAAAATTCTTATTTAACATTGAATATCCATCTAAGGATTTATTATGTTATTGTGATGTTAAATTGGAGACAGTAATGCTAGCTGCATAATAGTTTCTTTGTAAATTTACTATTGTCATAATTTATAAGCGATTAAATTAAGGTTATTGATAACATTGTATTAGGTCTTTGTGATTTCAAATTGAAAATATTACACAAAATTTTGTCTGCAGACTTACTATGTTACAATCTCATTATTACAGAATAAATATGGCGAAACTCCAGCAGACATTATTCCAAGATATTGAGAAATAAATATCTATTTTATAATGTTTATATATGTACCAGAAACATGTTAGTAACTGCAAATATAATTTAAAATGAAAGCTATATACTTTTAATGCAAATCAATTTATTAAGCAAAGATCAAATGCTGTAAACAAAATGGGATCTTCTGTTATCGTGTATGTATTAATACATATGAACGTATAAAGCTTTTGTGTGCCATATTTATAATTATAAAATAAATTGCTTTTTATACCTTGTTCCTATAATTTAATCTACTGTCATTCGATATAATATAATAATAAAACTGACAATTATGTCGCTTTTATTACAATCTTCTGTATATTTCTGAATCTGTCTACTGTTACAATCTTCCCAAGATTAAGTGCACAATTTTACAAAACATTTTCAAACTCGATATATAATTATAAATTAAGAAAATCTACATAAGTTAAATAAAATTTTTAATTGATTTTATAACATGAACAAATTAATCTTAGGTTTCTGGTAGTCTATAAACATAGTTCTGTAGTAAAGCATTCCAAGTTTAAATGAAATATATTTAGGTCCAAAAATAGATTACATCATTTTCTTGTCTTATATTTAGTTAAATTTAAAGTAGCTAATTATAAAGGGCTAGAATGGAAACTTAAGTAAGTGCTAAGATCTTTTATTATTAGATGACTGTTTTCAATATTACAAATGAGGAAGTCAAATGTTTGTGTTATTAATTATCATGATAATGCTACCATTGTTTGATAGTTATTATAACACGTGTAGACGACATTGTAACAAATTAAAAGTCACCAGAATACAATCGTAGAAACTAATCACCAGTTCTCGAAATGAAAATAATCAAGTTGTGTAAGTTTTTTGTACACTATTTATTGTACGTAATCAGGCATAATAGTGTAGTATGCTGTAAAGTAGTTTGTATTGTGTAAACAGAGAATTAAAAGTCATTAGCATAGCCTACTAAAACTGTTCGGCAATATTATAATCAGTAAAAGTAAAATAAACAAATTTTAATTCATGTTTCCTATGCAATTTACTTTGTATTTTTCCTTATCATATTACTTACAATATATAAGAAAGAAAAAAATTCATATGAAATAATATATGTGCAGTATCTTTAAATCTGCATTTATTCTGTACAGTAAACATCTAATGAATCTTAAGTTACATATAAACATGAAATTAAAAATCTGATAGTGCTGTTTTCTTCTCCTGACTCTCTGTCCATGCTTTAGCTATTGTTTGTTTCATTTCATCATTTCCTTCTTGATACATCTTCTTCATAAGGTTCATTATACTGGCACCAGGATCACCATCTTCAGCTACATCCGGAATTGAAGATGCTTTTGATTCTTTAATTCTTTTTTCTACTCCTGTCACATGCGACCACTGCTTTGGCACTTTTTTGGCAAGAGAAACAATAACTGTGTCAGTTTTCACTTTCACATTACTCTTGCTGACATCAATTTGTTCACATAGATTGTTAATAGTTAAACTATAGTTTCTATTCTCTAAACCAAGAACACGCAGGTCCAATGACTTCTCAGTGAAGTTACATACTACTGCCTCTTTAGGCAATTGACGTACATTTTCCAAAGTAACATATAACTTTACTGTGGTATTTGTTTGCTCCCAACCGTAATTAGTTAATTTAACTTCATAGCATTTTTGAGAAGAATTTGATGTTGCACTATGGGGCTTTGTAGATGTATTTTTCTGCTGTTCAAGCAATTTATCTAAATCTGTTTGTAACTTTATAATTTCAAGATTAATTACATCCTTGATTCTCTTACGATTTGCTTGCTGGAGTAAATTTGTGAGTTCATCTATATCTAATTTTATCTGTAATATAGAAATGTAACATACATATCGCATGTTATATCAACATTTCTGTAACATAATTCTCTTTAAGATAATTATTTACATAAACGCAAACTATGTGCCACTTAAATTCTTAAAGGTCTGTTCTAACAATTAAATGTAACATGTTAGAGGTACGTTTTTAAATGTACCATTACACTCACGTAATTACAATAATATTTAACAATGCTTAAACAAATACAACTTTCATCTAATCCAAAATATAGCTTCTTTGTCAATACGAAATGAAAGAATAATACAACGAATGAGTAGTTCTTTCATACCTCATCAGCCTTCATAGACATAGTTGTTCTTCGGACTGGCAATAAATATGACTCACAACTTAACGGCAAATCAAAACTTTAATGTTTGATAAGTATTTGATTGGCGATATATAAACTATTACAAAGTTAATTGTCGTATCCCTGCAACACTCTCACTTTGCTTCTCCGACGTTCAGATATTGACTGCATGTGTGACTGCATGTCCTGCATGCGTTTTGTGAATCGCAGTATCGCACTGATCGCACGATATTCCCCAGTCGGTAGAAATTTCTAGAGAATTCAACACTACCCAAGAAATTTGGAAAGATTTGTTCTTGTTGTTTCTTGGCATTAAGCAATTGAAAGAAAGTGCATGATAAAGGAGAGAATGTTTTAATAGAAGATGCAATGTTTTTTTTTATAGAACTTAATTTTGGAATTAACATAATTGCCAGAACATCACAGTCAAAATACGTAATAATTACATATCCATATACATATATGTATATATATTCCTTATCCAGCGTCCGGACAATTTAGTATAGTGAAACAGTTTAAGTTATGATTAAACATGTTTATCTGATGGCATAAGATTGTTTGTTAAATTTTCTCAAACTAATGTTACACATAAACAATTGTTAAATGTAACATTTTTAATTAATATTTACTTTCGCAACAAGGAATGACAAATGTGATCAATATGAAGTCCAAATGCATCTAAAATGCATTCGAATATAATTTTCTATTTACTTTCTTTTCATTATGAATATTCGGTAATTAAAAGTATATAAATACTTATTAAGTAAAATAAAGTTATTTTTAACACATAAGCATGTACTCTTACTTACTGAGAGTTCTAAAAAGTCGAACAACGTCATTTTAAGTCACGATTGGTCCGTTTGAAATATAACGGCTTTTACTTTCAACGCAAACTGTGTTTACATAAAGTTATGTTAGAATATCTAACAAAATGGATAATTTTAGCTCACCGGAAGCGTCACATTCAGAAAAGTTGCTGAAACATGAAAACGCTGTTCATAAACGTCGGTCTTCTATTTTTCAAAGTCGTATAACTGTATTTGACGAATGTGAAGGTTAGTCGAAGTCCAGTTTGTTGTTTACATTTTCTCTGTCGCCTGCCTAGATTTTGCGTAATTTCTTTAAATTAAAAGTAATCTTAGTGTGTAATCTTTAACCAAAGAGACAAACATTTACAGGAAATGAGAAATCTTTGGAAAACCATGATACAAATAAGTACGTATCAAAAACACCTGAAGTGGAAGGTTTTAATTTGGAATTGTATATACGCAACCTGAAGGAGGAGAGGAAAGAATGGATTGAAACGCTGAGACAGAGAAAAGCTGAACGGAAATCTCTGAAAAAGCAAAAGTTGCGTTTAGAAAATCAAGGGAAATCTGTAGATCTGATTACACTATCAGATTCTGAGAAAGCCTTTGTTACAAGTCGTCCAGACTATCAAAGTATTTGCAAGAGTAACAAAAGATTAACAGAAATGGCTTTAAAAGTATCAATACTACACCATATGGTTTACAAATTAAATCAAAGATTTATTTTACGAATGGAGAAAAAACTCTGTAGAGTTACAAAAAAGGTTATAGAGACATCGGAATCATGACATTATGAACACCATAGTGTAGGTATAAATAATTTTGATGATAAAATGAAGTATTTACATTATACTAATTTACTACTTTTAATAGTAACAGTAAAATAAATATATTTATATATAACAAAAAGAATAACCTTTCTAGAGAATTGCCATGTACTTTACAGAAATGTCAGTAAAAATAAATTATAGGATACTGTAAAAATATTAGGTACATTTTTTAAGTACATAAAGCAACTTTTTTTAGTTTTGAAAATTCATAGCATTACTCCTCATTACAATTAAAATGATAATGATATATTTGTATTGAAGCAAATATTGGTCTCTCTTCTGATTGCGTCAGAACGATGAATGTTTTAAATAATTTAGTATGGAACACAGAAACCAGTAGAGTTGTCATCTGTGCAAGTGAAAACTCTTGCGTCTAGCGGCTTTTCTTTCCTTTTGAGATAAGTATTCCTTTCTTGATGTACTGTTGTGTAATTCAAGTATATGATTTATTTTTCTAACAATCTCTTCGGCGGTTATTGAGTCAGCCTCGAATTCGTGATTCTTAAATTGTCCAGATGATGCTGCAAAAAGAAATTTATCCGCCAAACTATAGAATTAACAGTTTTATTGTGTATATCAGATTGGTTGAATGATACAAGACACACCTAAAATATTCTCGGAAGTAGAAGTATGTGGAGTGTAAACTATTGTAAAAATTGTTTTTGATCCCTTTGTTTCTGTTATTTCACACCAGGCAATATTATCTATTTGATAGCTAACAGCACGTTGTCTATTCCAAAAGCGTCCAGCACCTTTACCAGTCATTACTGGATTGATTTCAATTTTTTCACCTGAGATTCCCAGGTAAATTTCAGTCTTTGCTCTGACTTTGTTAATTATATACACCCTATGGAAAGTACAGGTGAATTAATTGTGAAATGCTTTTTATAATTAGCAATATGGAAACACTGAAAAAATACCTGTACGATTGATATAATGGAGCTTCCATGGCAGTGGTGTGACCTTCCATCTTTGCCAGATCTTCTGCAACTTCTTTTTGTTCTTTGTTCTGTCTTTCTAGAAAGTCATCTTCGTCTTTAGTTTCCACACGACCGATCATATTGTATCTTGCTCTATCGCTGGGTTTCATTTCTGTAAGGCCTAGGGTTGTAAATTCAAATTTCGAAATAATTTCTCTTGGATCTAGGCAAGGTAAATCCCAATCGACCTCGCCGTCATCTTCTGTGAAATATAAGCCGTATCTTGTAATATCTTCCCTGAAAACATTAGGGTACCAAAATTTTTCCCAACGACAAACTTTGCAAAGAATAACCACAAGTTAAAAGGAATTCCCACTTTAGAGGATGATCTGGATGTTCGTTTGCATATTTGTAACAAATTAATCCAATGAACTCCAGCACTTTCGCAGTAGCGACTACAATTATTTGAATAGGATACATTCTGTGTTCTTTAGGTAACATACACATAAAAATCCTATACTTTCTGATAGGAATATCAACTTGTGCCTGTAATAAATTTCATTTAAATCAAAAGAATAACTAAATGTTATGTTAAAAATTTATAAAATACATCGACACATACACTACCATCGAACTTAGCATATTCCATGAATGGATTTTGTGGTAGATTTGGACATTTTTCAAGCTGCTCGGATAAAAGAGAATATCTTTTATTGGATTGGCCAGGTTTCTTACGAAAGTCTTTTCTTTGAAATAATTCCGACTGTTGAGTGAGAGACATGGTAGGATTGTTTTCCCATTTTACATTTACTTTGGCAGCCTTCTTTCTTTCGAGGTCCATTTTCTCTAGCCTTTTAGCAGTATTAGACCGTTCTCTATGGCTGTACTCCATGTCTGTTATAGTATTAAAATTGTTTTGAAGTTTGTATGTCACAAATGAGACATATTCAAAAAAAAAAAAAAAAAGAAGTTACCCATCTGTACGTCGTATGATTCTACGAGAGCATCCAGATCTTCGTCGTCACTTTCTTCCATACCAGGATAACAGTGTAGCATACAGTTTGATTTGAGTTGTTTAGGAATATCTTCTCCGACCATCACCATTTCGCACTGACCTTAAAAACGTAAAGATCAAAATGCTTAAACGAACATACGAATAATATACCAAAGATCTTCGGTATTTAACCTAAATGTAATGCACGACAAACCTGTATTGTCTGTTAGTAAAAAACTATCTCGGATATGCGACAAGAGCCAGTGGTCATTATCGTAAAACGCCATTTCCTTTTATTTAGGTATAGTTGGACCATAAAAAATTATTTTCAAAACTTGTGTTTGCTATTGTCTAAAGTCTAAAGTAAATGAACTCTTTCTCAGTCTTCTTCTTTTATGTCGCGTTCGCGTTCTTTATGCGTGCAAACATATCGTTTAAGTATGTCACGGACAGATGGCTGCACTGTCTTCTTTAAAGAGACGGCGGGTCCTACGTCAGTATGAACCGCGTACCGCAACAATAATGATGTAAAGTTTTTTCTTTTAAGTCACTGTAAGATTTAGTAATGCAACATTTACATGTTAACTATAGTGTTTTCGCAAAATCGAAGAAACCTAAGCGACCGTTCAAGTTGTTTCTCCAACGAAAAAGCTGAGGAAGCAACGGCTTCTCATCTTCTGTGGAATACGTATCAATTGTACATAATGGTTGCCCTTGATGAGACATCATAATCTCATCGGAAGGAGTAAGTAGAGACTGCACTCTTATCCAAAGAAGTTTAAGCGAAAGCTACTATCTATACATGTACTAGTCAGAGGAATTGGTAGGTGAACCGGCTCACAAGGTTTTAGTATCAAGTAATACATGTCTATAACCCTATAAGAAGGGCTTGCGATTTGGCTCGATTGTTTGTCGATCGACGAAATGTTCGTATTTCTTTCGTGTGTTGTCGCGTTCGAATAGTGTTTATTCTTCTGTGGACTCTTTCTTTTTCCCTGTCTCACTCGCCGCGCCCAAGCTACGAAATTAGCAGGTGGAATCTTCTCGTCTTCCTGAATCATTTCGTTTGACCCTCGGCGACTTGTGGTTGACATCCCCAGACATGAGTACTGTGTCTACATATATTACGAAAAACTTTGGTATGCGCTGCGAGTGTTCATTTGGATCGGAGGTTTCCAATTTTATGAATTTCCAAGACGCGTTTTTATCAACGTTTCGTTGACATTTCTACGACTGTCGAGCAGAATTCTGCATATATTTATTTACGGTTTGGGAAGCACCGTTTCGCAATAAGAGTGCACGTATACACGAGAGAGGAACATATGCGAATCGCAGACGTTAACCGGTGTATTCGGCATCTCCAACGAGCGAGTCTCGGTGCGCGACAGTGGAAACGTAGTCGTCGCGGACCTCGTCGACGTCCTCGTCGACCTCCTCGACGACGCCCACGCTTGAAACTTTGCACTGCACACCGTAATAACCGGGTTACACTACAAAGCCGACAATTAACCATGCGGCTAGGCAGCGCCCATTCGTCATCGTTCTCGTTACCCGCAGTTGAAAATATCACGGCTAGAGAGATTTTCTGGTACAGCATGTACGTATATCGGTACAGGGATAACCGTTCGAACGGTACGGGTAATCGTTTTGATCGAGACGAGGACTTGTAGCGATTCTTTTCGAACTCGTGAACAAGACCCATGCCAAAAATTCATGGGGCAACACAGAGACGCGCATAGACGAATCCCGGCGATACGCGCGGTAAAAGCCAGAGATACAGGTTCCGAAGCGATTTCGAATTTTACGCGTTATCGATAATTCTACGGTCGGTTCGATGGATTCGACGCGTAAAGCTACCGCCGGTAATCTTGACCTTTTACGTGTTTTCCGCTCGGAACGCGAATCGCTCGCCTGGCGGAAGCATACCCCTCCCGCTCCTGCCCCTTGACTCGAGCCGGGGCGAGTTTATGGGCCAACCGAATGAAAGAGCCACTCACGAGAGAGTTTTTCTCGCGATGAGGGATGAAAAGAGCTGATCGCATTTTATTAAGCGCCGCTATATTTATGGGTATTGCGTTTCTCCGGGGAAAAATAATCAAGGATCCTGCGGTGTATGTTTTCTAGCGGCGAAGCTAATGCCTTGCCAGGCGGGACCGCCGACAAGGAAAAGTCGACGTGAAAGGGGAGAAGTTGCGAGCACGGGCATTGGAAGCTGCAATCCTCGGAAAAACAAAGAATGTTCATGCTCACGCTGAAAGAAAGGACGAAAAGCAGCAGCAGCAGACTCCGGCGGTTTAACGGAAAGGGGAAAGGTGCCGGAAGTGAAATAACGAAGAAGGAAACATGGTAAAAGGCAGTGCATTTTAGAATTTTCCTTGGAGGAAGCGCGCGGCGCAAAAGAGAAAGATAAAGGCAAGCACAGAAAGTCGCCCTTACTATCGCCCTCGCGTAATATCAAAAATGCTTCGAGAAGGACGAAAGAAAAGGCGGGAACGAATACGTCTCGCGATGCGCTTCATCGAAGAGAACGACTCGCGAAGCGGAACGGGAAAGCTCGGCAGGTAAAGGTGCGCAAAAGGAACAAGGCACACAGGAGCACATATACATATACACACACCGTACGAATATCGCGTGCATCGAGTGTGTCGCATGGAACGCGTGCACGAATGTACCATACAATCTTGATATTGCGATTCCCGGGTGTTACGCCGGGGATATTCGATGCTTTTAGGAATATCCGTGAAATGTATGTACCGGATGCGGTCTTGCACACCGCGAAACGAGCGTCTATAGATGGGCCACGCGATCAATGGATCCCATTCGTCCTCGGAAATAAGGATACATTCTGTACGGTATAGATGTGCTGTACTTTAACGAAAAATTAAAGCGACGTTTTAATTATTTTGATGAATATGACAGCGCTTCGGCAGGGTCCGTTTCAAGCGACGAGAGGCCAATTGTTAATTGCACGGACTAGGTCGGAGTTCAGGCCAGTCGAAAATAACTATACGGAGTGATTCGAACTGGTGGGCACGGAACGAAGGAACACTGACACAGGGAACATGGAGGGAAAACCAAAAAAAAAAAAATGGCTAGGGGCTGTAAAACAGGTGAGTGGGAAACAATATGCCCCCCTAACGATTTTCCAGGAGAAACCAGCCGGCTACGAGTATCATCGCCTTTGTTACGCCTTGGGGTTACTCGCGATTGTCCTTTTTTCTTTTTCTCCTTTCGTTCTTTCTCGACAGCGTTCTTTGCGTGGAGACAGAGAAAGGGAGAAGAGATTTCATTCTCTCTTTTTCTCTCTTCGTTTCTCCTCGCCGCTCCTTCTTCGTCCACGATCTTGCTTCACAGAATTCTCTCTTCCTGCTCTCTATTTGTCAGCCATTCTCCACTCCACTCCGTGTCTCGTCTCTCATTCTCTCTCGAGATCTCGTCCCTCTTTCGTCGAGACCCGCGTTTCTATCTCCCGGTCTTTCCGTCTTTGCCGTTTGTTCCTCGATGTCCCCCTTGGCCCACTCTATAATAACGAGAACCCCATTCAAAGTACAATAGCCGGTCATAAATTACCCTCGAAAATGGTAGCATTAGATTCTGCTGGATTCACCCTTTATACAAACCGTGGGCGTACGCTCGCTTAATTGAGCATCCTCGATAAACGCGACGCGCGGCGAAGCCGTTCCGGTATATCCGCGCTAAATTTTCCGGGATAAGCTTGGAAAATTACCGAAACGCGCTAGGTCTGCCGATTTTTCCAGGAAAAACAGAATCTAACGTTTATCCGTGATAATATCAAAATCGGGATATCGAACGTGTTTTCCGGTACTTTCGAAAATTACTTTTACGAAACTCGACGGTGTTCAGCAACGTACAATTGTCATCTGAAAGCGAGGAATGAAAAAAACACATAAGCGCTCGGTAATCGCGTCGAAAGAACGCGGATGCGTGTGAGAGGGAGAGGAAGAGAGAGAGAGAGAGAGAGAGAGCAGTGTATTTCGACCGGTCGAGATATATAGCAGATTAAAGCGGCGTGCTGATTTCGGTGGCTAATTACGAACGCCGGTTCTAATTGTACCGGCGATAATTCGAGGATACGGCCGTAAAACGATCGAGGCCGCGAGATAAACTGCGACAGCGAGGCATCGATTTCCTCGTATCCGATTCGACGACGCGGGCATTACGCGAAATTAATGCCACACGGTCGTGTAAAAGCATCACTCCGCGGCCCGTATCGATTATTCTTTGTCAGGATATTAACGCCCGGGCCCCTCGGTTCTCGAAATCGTTAACGCCGATTTCTCGATTACCACGGCCTCGGTTGGTCCACGACCTTTGGCTCCGATCCCTCCCCCGTGCGAAATGTGTCAAAGTGAGGGAGCCTATTCCCGAGCGGGGCGCCGCTTTAAAACCGATTTCAATCGTTCGTTTTTTTTTTTTTTAATTCCGTTCGGCATCCAAAGGATGCTCAGGGTGTATATATCATATCGCTCGATACCATTGTCATTCTTCGCAAACCGCGAAATCCTCGTTCTCGCTATTGTTCGCCACAGTTTAATCGATTGCAGATCGGCTGTCGAAAAGGAAATATCGTTTCCTCTTCTGTTGCCACGACGATTCTCAAACTCACCCGCATGGTTTCGTATGGAACATTTCGAAACCGTTTAACGAAGCTATCGTTCTCGTCGATATTGACCGTGTACCCGGCGTGAGAATTTTCTGGGGTGTCGCCTTTTAAATGAAATTTCGACGTCGACGCTACCCTGAAGTTATTCATTCCAGTTCGAGGCGCGGGGAGGGGACGTTCGCAAGCGGAGGCACAAACGAAATTGACGTTCGCGTTGGAAACTTTTCGAATCGAATTTCCGGTGAAATTCTTCGGAGGAGATCGCGGCCTGTAAAAGGCAAGGAGGAGACATCTTTCGTTTTCGAGGATCTCCTCCTTTCGAATCTCTGTCTATCTCATTCTCTCTCGGTACAGTAACCGAACCCCTTCCATTTTGAATTTCCTCTGCATTGTGTATCCCCATCTTCTCCAGAAATCAAGGACAAACGGCGACAAACGACCGGCGAAAGAGCAGATGGGGCTAAATCGTGGAACGTGTCGATTCCCGTCTGGACACAAATATAGTCGGCTACCATCGATCCCGTGGATTAAGGAACAGATCTCTCCGCAGGGAGAGGCGGGTTATGAGAAAGCGAACATTTGTTTCCTGTCTCGTGTGCCTCTATGATATATGCAAATATTTACGGTGGCAGGAACGGAGGGTGCCCGGAGGGGGGAGGGAGCGCGAGAAAGGAAGGAAGCGAAGTTAAGGGAGACGCGAA